ATTGGACTGGCTGTAGAGTTGGACTAGAATTAGACAAGTTTTTGAATCAGGTCTGACTGATACAGAATGTCTTTCATTTGAAAGCATGTCTAACTATCGCAACTATACAGGTGGTCCTTGCCTCTTGCATAATTCCTGGACCATCACTCTAACACTTCTCCAGTACTTTCTCTGACACTAGGAAGGTGTTCCTTGTTACCAACCACAAAGCAACCTTGTTATCCTCTTTTAAAATCCTCCTTAAAACTTTCCTTTGTTCTGATGCCTGCAAAAATACCATGACAACAGTTAGGCTGCTAGTGTGCAACAATTGCTATTGTAAACTGACCAATACTGGCATACTGTTTCCACGTGTTCCACTTTCTCTTTGTTCTGTTTGTCCAGCACCTACTGTGATGAGTTCATAAAGCACCACGAAGAAGTCTTTGAATAGAATAATAAAAACAACAATGCTAACTAACTTAGTTTCACTGAGGCAAACGTGCATAAGTTATGTAGATATCCTCATCTTTGCCCTAAGCAAATTTCTCTCTCAGTAAAACCAGAGTATCTCATTTTCACTGTATTTTTACCTCACATACAGGTTACCTAACCTGAAGCAAAAAAACCCCACCACCATGGAATTTTTAGTAGGAAAGACAAGGCATTATTTGGGATGGTGCATCAACAAGGTAAATTCCCTTGTGGGACAGGATAACCCCAGGGGATTGTAAATAGGATACAGATCCTTTCGTCTCTGTATTGTCAGGTAAATCTTGCCCAGCTTGGAAGTGACTGAAGGCTGTGGCTGCCCAATGGCTCTTTAGTATCTCCTATTTGAGGTGAATTTCATTCATGTGTAAGTTTTTCCCTCCTTGCCCAAGTAACTCCACCTTTGCTGCTTTTACTCCTTTTACAACCAAACTAGTTAAAAGGATACATTTATAGGCTGAATGTTATCTTGTGAAAGGTATATCCTAAAAATAATACCAGCTTCTCTGCTGAGAGTTCACTTATGGTTTACAGTAGATAAAATGTAATCGCACACACGTATACCTCCATCCACCCCCAAATTTCAGGTTGTCTGTCAATTTTGCAGTTAATAAGAAGTTGTGCTCCATTGAGTTTACTATGTCACTAAAACCCTTGCAGTCTTAACTATACAAAGCCTACATTGTCTATACAAGGATACTGAGAAGATGTGCCTGACCTTGGCAGGAGCTAGGTGTACCCAGAACCATGTTATTAAAAAAAATTACAACAACAGAAAAAAATATTCTTTTAGGCTTTTACAAGGAAAGATAAAGAACAGTGCCATTACTACTTAGGCACGCAACAATCCCTTGCCTACTTGGTCAATTTTAAAAGCATGAAAAATTGCACCTAAAATATAGATACAGAAATGTGAAGGACAGAGCAAGGTGTTCAGATTTGTGCTTTTGGCTCAAGCACATCTTTAAATGTAAACTTCCTGAAATCTTGAAATGTAAACTTCCTGAATAAGAGATAATCTAAGTATAAGTGTATGTAGTTAATTATTAAAGGAGTGAAATATTTATTTCCTCGCTAAGGAAATAGAACCAAACTTCCATTGACATGACCTGGACAAACTTGCAAGGTGGGCGGATCAAAACCTGATGACATTCAACAGAGAAATGTGAGGTGCTCCACCTCAGGAGAAAAACCCACATCATACTTACAGGCTTATCAATGCTACACTCACTAGCACCATGACCAAAAGAGACTTGGGGGTCATGATTGACCACAAGATTAACATGAGCTACCAGCGAAATGCCACAGCGGGCAAAGCAAATAAAACTCTGGCTTGCATGCACCGATGCATCTCAAGCAATACTCAAGAAGTCATCCTCCCGCTTTACTTTGCCTTGGTGAGGCCACAGCTGGAGTACTGCATCCAATTCTGGGCTCCACACTTTAGAAAGGATGTGGAGAAGCTTGAGGGAGTCCAGAGGAGAGCCATGCACATGATTAGAGGTCAGGAGAACAGGCCGATAGGCATGGGACTCTTCAGCCTGGAGAAGCAAAAGCTCAGGGATGACTTGGTGGTAGCCTATATGTATGCATCAGGAAGTGAGAGAACATCTGTTCACTAGGGCATCCCAAGGGAAGACAAGATCTAATAGTCACAAACTGCTGCAAGACTGTTTTAGGCTGGACATAAGGAAAAACTTCTTTACCGCCTGAGTCTCCAGAGTCTGGAATAGACCCGACCCCCACCCCCAAAAAAAAAAAAAAAAAAAAAAAAAAAAGTGGCGAAGCACCCACCCATGGGGTGATCTGACCCCACCTGACTTCCTGCCCCTTGGGCAAGAGGCTGGACCAAATGATCTCACAAGGTCCCTTCCAGCCCTGCTGTCTATGAAGTCCATGACGTCTAGTAGCAAATCTCCCATTGATTTCAATAGGAACAGAATTTGGCCCTTATGTATTCATCTTTCATAATCTATGGCAGTGGATCTAATTTTTGTTTACTTGGGTTTTTTTGCTTAGCACAAGAATATAGATCATTCTTAATTTGAAAACTCATTTATGCATCTCAGTGTCACTAGACTGAATTAAAAAAAAACGAGATTAAGTTATACCAACACCTATGCCAATGAGTGTAATATAGACATTACTGGAGTTTATAGTCTTGATTATAATGCACGTCTCACCCAGGAAAATACATTCATAACTCATTATTCTGAACCAATCTGAATGTGCATATGAGTGCAGAACAGCCCTACTGATATTCAGATCTTTTTCAGCTGCTTCTGAATATGCCACTGTCCAAGTCAACAAGCAGAACTCCAGTCTGCATTTTGCCATACAATTAACATCACCAGATGCTAATCTTCCATATGAAATGCAAATCATAAACTTCTGATGTTGAAAGTAAGAATTACTGTATATATTTCTGTTAACCATTAGTAACCAGCACAAACTACAGCCAAGAACCTCCTTATAGCTTTTTTCTAGGCTTTAATGATAACATAGAAAGTATACCAAATATTTAAAACACCCTAATAAGGAGAGACAGATCAATATCCCTGATAGCAGATGTTCATACTGACTTTACAGAAGGCTTTTTAACATCAGAGGGACAGAAACTGATGCAGCTTCCACAGAAAGTGTAAAACAGCAAATTATGACACCAGAAATGGTGACTGGAGAGCAGCAAGCAGGCACAGGTCCTGCTGAGGTCTTGGTGCAGCTTGATTCATGTACTGATGAAGAGCCACAGTAAAGTCAAAGTCAAGGGGGCTCCTTGAACTTACCCGATGGCAGCATCTGATTGAATCAGTACCAAATCCCTAGCTCAAACTGTGGAACAGCAGTTCCATAAACATTTGCCAACTCTCAGTTGATTATGATATACAAATAGGATTACAACCTATTCTTTTATTTTTTTAAACAAACAAACAAACAGAGATGTTGCAAACTGGAATGACACAGGATTCATATTTGCATGCCAGATACATTCTGAATACTGCCTTAGAAATACTCCAGTCGCAAAACAAGCCGGCATTGTTGCGTGTTCCTGAAATCCACAATACAGGAGAGGAAGATAAAAAGCCTAATTCTCAACTCACACGGATGTAAACTGTACAGCTGAAATCAATGAAGTTACATTAGTGCAAAAAAATCTGGCCTAAAAGCGACTCTGAATAAGGGAAGAAAAATGAGAATGCAAGGAAAGTATTTGTCCCTTCACTTATCTTTCAAAAGCTGTGCTGTCATTCTGAATGTGTAGCTTGTTAGCCCTGTTAGTATTTTTCAAATAGCAGCATATTTCTGGCGTTATCTTATTTTCCTCCCTCGGAATACATGTTGTCTTTAGCTTTCCAATTTTTTTTACCAGGCTCTGCTTAATACCACAAGTGACCTTTCACCTTTATGACCTGGCACCTGCAGTACTCAGCTATGCTGAGTATATGTATTCCACAGCACTCTGGCAATAGTCTGATAATACAGAAACTTGCTACATATTTGTTGCAACAGCCTCCAAGTGTGTGTTTTCTGCCTCCCATCAGCATGTAAAATCAGCAATAGACTTGTAAAGAATAATTGTGGGATTGTCCGATTTACCATTAAGTCAAATCTGGAAGGCTTGATTTAAAGTAGCCCTGGGGCCAAATTCTCCCCTGTGTTACGCCCATGTCATCCTGTGACATCAACTGGGTGCAGTGGTGGAACTTACAGTAAATCTGAGGAGCTGTTAGATCCCTCGCCACCCATGTTTAACTGTTACAGATCTGTTTTACATCCCACACCTTAAATTCCTGAAGTCATATGGACAACATCATTCTTTGTCGGCAAAGAAATAATTTCTTTCTATACGCGCAAGGAGACAAATCATTATCTAACCACATACAAGTAATTCAGATGTAACCAAACTGGTATCATTTAGTCTTAAGTAGTCACTGAAATTTCCCTAGACAAGGTCCTATTTTTATCGCTTTAACCAGCTCTAGTTGGAGTTCCCAAACAGCTGACCAGTTGATTTGTTATTGCTCATCTAACATAACTGTGTCACTGCTACATGTTCTGCTCAAATAGAAGGGTTTGGTTTTGTTTTTAAAGAGAAAATTAAAATTTTCCATGAAGCTATTGAGCACATCAGAAAAGAAACTACGGAGAGGTGTTCATCTGGTTTGATATGGAGATGTACAGAATCGTCTGAACTAAGCCTTGAGAACTGAATGTTCCAGAAATAATTTTTCAGTCTGTTACTATCTGGTATGTCTTTACCTTTTTCTCTCAGTCTCTCTCTCTCCCTGGTCTTATATTTTCAAGACTAAGCAGTCAAATGGATTCTGTCAGTCAAAAAGTGTTCTCAAAATTTAGTACAACTAGCTTGCTACTCCACACTGATTCTGTTTTTACAGCAAGTCTTTAAAATGCTCTTTTTTTTCTTTCCAAAAACAACATATACCCCACTTTGTTCCTGGCAAACTGCAAAAGAATAAACCCTGGGAAAAGGACATGGAGAGAGCAGTGACTGCACAAAATTTACCTACCTGGATTGTGGAGCTGAAGTAAGTCTCTGCCCTTAGCACCATTCACAGAGAAGAAAGAGTTTCTGGGCAGCAACCTAATGCATCTTCTTTTACTAATGCTCTGCTAAATGAGAAGAGTTGAGCAACTCCTTACAATGCTGTTTAGAACAACAGATCTTTTAGCCTTCACTTCCTTGCTTCACTCTGCTTTCTTTAGAGTTTCTGAGTGCTAAGAGGTGTACAGAGAACTTGCAATTAGTAGTACCAGCTAAGCTAAAACCCTGATTCGCACTGACCTAAGCTGCACATTCCAAAGTGCTAAATAGGAGTGCTAATCAGAAGGCACTCTCTTTAAACCAAATTCCTGACTAGACATAAAGCATAAAAAAAAGTTAAACTAGTACACTTCCAGAGCCAGTTTCTGCCTATTGCCTTGGTAATGCCTGCAAGATCTCAGGAGCCCACACTGAAACTGTGACTGAGAAGAAAATGTTAAGTGTCTCATCTCTGTTAGCTTATTTTTTTCCTTCCCCCTCCCTTGTTCTCTCTTCTCACAGTAGCAAGGTTGTCTCTTGTATACTCCCTGCTCTTAAACTCACCAAACCAGATTTCTACTCCCAACACAAGCAACTTCCCGTAAATCTGAACTGAAATTTTATCCTGTTCACTGAGCTTTTTGCTGGCTGAAGGCCAGTGCAGCATTCCTGTTGTTTTAGGAGTACAAATACCTACCTTTCCTTTTAAAAAAAAGTAAAAAGAGAGAGAGAGGGAGGGAACCTGAAGAAAGGTAAAGAAAGAACAAGAGAAACTTTTGGAGGGACAGATTTTTTTTCTTTTTTAGGATTTTTCAGGGTGGGGATTATGTTCATCTCTCTATTTTTAAAGGAATAAAACATTCCCAGTGAATATTGGTAAGACAGCAAACTTCCTCCAGGATGATCACCCTCTAGGTAGATTTGGATTTTAAAAGAAACTAAAGCAACAGTATTGTACTCACCTGAGGCACAGTGTAGTTCAAGGAGTGCAGGGAGTTATGTCAAAGAGGGAAGCCCATAAGCATTTCTGATCCAATTTCATCAATGCAATGGGGGTGCTTCTTGCAGAATGAATCATGTTAGCCTCTAATAACCTGAAGTAACATCTGGTATCTAGAAAAGGAACAAAAGAGAAACTAGTTTAGAAATAACAGCCTAGCCCTCTTTTAACCTCCATGCAATCTCTCTGATAGCTGTCTACAACTCCAAAAGTAGCAATGAAGTTCGACAGTAAACTTTCTCTCCCTGTTTGATATTACCTGCTTCTGCAAGGGTTAAGCAGTTTGATGTAGTTAAACAAAACACAAACCCCGTTTATAGTAAATGCAACCAGCCAACAGAAATCTATTCATTACTTGTGACTAAACAAACTGGAACAGGAAGCACAAGCCATCAGAATTTTTTTAAAGTAGTAATTCCAGCTTGCATTGTCATGCAACTGAAAAAAGGGTTTAACTTCTCTCTTTAGCCTTTGTTCAAATGGAGTTCACTTTTTTTGTTGGAAAGATTAATACCGAAGATATTTAATCATGGGCATACAAACATCTGATGGATCAGTGTTTACTTTTTGCCCTGAATACTGAAAAGAACCTTTTTATTTGTTTTGTTTAGGGGCATGTTTTTGTAGATGATTTTTTTTTTCAAATTCACTTTTGTAATTTATGATTTGAGAACTGGACTTGATATCTAGTTCTGTTATAGTACTTGCACACAACAGGACTTTAAAAAACTCAGCAGGAGGTTAACAGACATAAAAGTTAATTTTCTAAGATATACAGTTTATTGGAAAATATATAGTTGGTCCAATTATAAACATCACAAACAATCTTGCCTCTAAGATAATATTAAGGCTTACAAATACTGTAAATAGTGTTCTACAAGGAACTTAATTTTTTTTTTATATAAACAAATATTTATGGCTATAAAGCACTGCTGTCTTTGGTAAGTGATGATACTAATCCTACTGTTTTGAGCTTTCTGTTACTTCCTATCCACATTTCTCTAATTTTTTCTGGTAAAGATGGATTACACAATTTTATCTAAGCAAAATTCACACTGACTGACAATCAGCTTTTGCTTGAATAAGAACTGCAGAACTAGGCCCACGCAGATGTAACAAAACCAAACAGCTATATACTGAAATATGACTTTTTTAGAGCAAGTCTGCATTAGAAAGCTTTATCAATATAAATGCCAGTGAACCCAATTAGTGTAGGTGCAGTTATAGATGGTAAAAATACTTTTGCCAGTACAGCTTATAATAGTTTCATAGTTGGTAGGGTCGGAAGGGACCTGAGCAGATCATCAAGTACGACCCCCTGCAATGGCAGGGAAGTTCCAGATCCTAGCTGCCCTGACTGTGAAGTAGTGCCTCCTGATGTCTAGCCTGAATCTACTCTCCAGCAACTTATGGCCGTTATTCCTTGTTACTCCCGGTAGTGCTCAGGGGAACAGGGACTCTCCCATTGCCTGCTGGTCTCCCTTGGCCAGTTTATAGACGGCCACCAGATCCCCTCTTAGCCTTCTCTTGTGAAGGCTGAACAGGTTCAGGTCTCGTAGCCTCTCCTCAGAGGGCCTGCCCTGCTGCTCCCTGATCATGTGAGTGGCCCTGCTCTGGACCCTCTCGATGCTGGCCACATCCCTCCTGAAGTGTGGCGCCCAGAACTGGATGGAGTACTCCAACTGCAGCCTGACCAGTATCGCATAGAGGGGGAGGATCACCTCCTTGGACCTGCTCATGATGCATCTGTGGATGCATGGCAAGGTGCGGCTAGCCTTCCTGACTACATCCTCACATTGGCGGCCTATGTTCATCTTGGAGTTTATAATGACTCCAAGATCCTTTTCTGCCTCTGTGCTGACGGGAAGGGAGTTCCTCAGCCTGTAGGTATGCTGCTGGTTCTTTCTCCCTAGGTTCAGTACCCTGCACTTGTATTGAATCCCATGTTGTTCTCATCCACCCACCACTGTAACCTGTCCAGATCCAATTGCAGCCTGTCCCTCCCTTCTAGTGTGCCCACTTCTCCCCACATCTTAGTGTCATCCACAAATTTGAACAAGGTGCTTATAGTTGGGGAGCAAAATATTCTATACCAGCAACAGTACGTTAATGCTACTATGACCTGTGTCTACACTATGGTTCTGTCAAATCTAGGGTTGCTTTACTAGTACAGAAATAATATGATAGTGCATTGAAAAAGGGCCTCCTAGTCTAGACCCAACTATACCAGCAAATGAGTCTGCCTACACAAGGGTTTTCTAGTGAGTATGGTCAGGGATCATACTGCTTCACATTCTTGACTGACATCAAAAATGTAGAATAGACTTGGCCGAAATCATGCAAAAAATCATACCACTAACTGCCACTGCTGTAATCAGCAAAGGCAGTCAAAAAGACCAAGGCTGAATCAATTCAGGCTCTGCAGGTTAGTCTAAGCTGCACAGATTAAATTGAAACAGAAGTGAACAGACATTTACCTTTGATTCAGAAAGTGCAGCCACATGCCTGAGGTGGCTCAGGCCAGAAACAGGTGGGTACTAGAGCATAGTTCTTTGACTGTGTGTTCACTTCATCTTTCTGATGCCCCTGAGGTCTACAGGATTTGCAGTCCACAATTACAGCAGCAGGACTCTGCAGAGTTGCTCATCACTTCCTCTTCCTGCTTCCAGATGCCTCTGGGATTTGTAGTCCACAGTTGCAGCCAACAATAAGTTTGAGTGGGCCCCCTCCCTGGCCCCAGTCAGGGTTTGCCCAAGGGGGGGCAGTCTCCCCCCCGTAGACTGGGCTGCATCCCCAGCTGGGCTTGCCCCCCCTTGTTAGCCAGCTCTCACTGCCCCAGCTAGGGAGCAGAGGAGTGAGGCCAGCCCTGCTTTCTGGAGCAGACAACACACCTCAACCCAGGGCTGGAAAGCATGCTGGGAATGCTGGGGGACTGATTTAATTTGAACCAGGAGGGGGTTTGGGACAGAAGTTTCATAAAATGGTTTGACCCAAATCAGTTAAATCTGATACTACATTAACCAGGTTTATCTTAAACTCATTTCAGCCATTTTGAAACTAGTTTATGTTCACTGATCTTCTGTTCTGTTACAAGTTTAAACCAGTTTCTGATCACTTAAACCGGTTTATGGGTAACTTCTGTCCCTAGCCAAAGTGTCTGGAGTAGGCCTGGCTTTACTCAGTACATTGTATAGACTTGAATTTCAGTAAAGACTCAGAACAACCTCTCATCACTGGCTACCAATTTCAGGACTTGGCCCCAGTGAATCAAAATGGGAAGAAAGTGTATTTATGGTCACACACATGCACACACATATCTATCTTGCAAAAACAGAGTAATACTAAGTACTATTAATAGTAATACCAAGCATGTCACACACAGTTGTAAATCTCCAAGGATATTTTATAATATATATATTATATTTGCAATTGGAATTTTAAAGTCTCAAAATTAAATAGCTTCTCTAAAACCTGAATGTCCAAGCTAGAGTCAGTCTTCTTTTATTTAGTTGTTCAACCTATTCAGAAGTTTAGCAAGTCTAATTCTGACAACCTCTTTAAATGCAAAACAAAAAGTGAACCAGTAGAGGAATGTAGCTCAGGTATGCTATAATTTGCTGCAATACCCATCAGTCTGGGAGTTAAGAGTGAAGTACATTCAGAACTCTGCCCTTTGGTGAGCAGAGATTTCCTGTTCTTTAGCCAAACCATGGTAGGGTTTCTTACTAAAAGAAAATAATTTAATGAGTTCACAACAAAGTGAATTAAGTAAGTGTGACAAGGTTCTCTGGGTGAATCTAAGTAAGTGTAGCATGATCAGACTGAATGCTAATTTTTGAAAGCAAAAATATATGATTAAAGCAGGTGCCCCCCAAACAGCATCGGCCAACTGTACTTGAAAATATGGGCCAGAGGAGTTACATGCTTTGTTTAAAAGTTTGCAAGACTTCCTGCT